ATACATAAGATATTAATTTTCCTGTGAATCATAATATCAACTAATTCCATTAATTTATCATTGAGAGTACCTATATTCCAAGATCTTATCTTAATATTAGTTTCATGGACTAACTTCTTTACCCGCATTCACCGTAATGTGAGAACCCTTGCTTATTTAACACTACACCCGGGCGCCGGTGTAGCGACCCTTGCACACTTTTCACTGTATTCAGATTATACAGCGCGTCGCTTCCTTTGAATTCTATTTAATTCATCTATACTCAATATAATTTTGAATATTTTTTTTGCTAATAAATATCAATATCAAAATGCTTCTACTCCAACCAATTGACATTTTTCTAAATTCTAAATCTTATAAAAAAATATTTAAAAAATCACTACAATATCTCTCATAATTCTCCAAATATCAATAGACACCTCATCTAAATCTAAAGCTTTACCATTGTGCAAAGTTAAATCCATTTTTCAATCACTATAACAACTTTACTGTATTGATTATTATGTACTTCCAAAATAATTTCTTCTTTAGATCTTCCATTTAGTAATTTGTCAAAAAAACATTGTTACCTGTCATTGGTACCTTTTCTTTAATATCTTATTGCTTTCACCTTTAATGCATCTAACTTAACCAAAACCCCTAAATCTCTTACCTTAATGAATCTATATATCACATTTTCTCCATTTTTTTTATTAATAATCCTATTATATAAATCATAAAAATAAGTGTCTATTGATTTACTCACTATTATCTGTACACGATTTCTAACTTTTTTATAATCATTAAAAATATCATTAATATTCTATTTTTGTAACTTTTTAAAAGCATGTTTTTCTTAATAACCGTTTATATCTCATCACCATGCCATCAAATCTACTTATTAGTGCATAATCTATTTTTAGACTCCCCTAGAACTTCTATAACAATCATCTTGATGAAACTAGCAATCCTATCCCACATTTGGCTACAATGTCTCTTTTAGCACCATTTCAAATTCTGCCACCTTTCCTAAAAAATATTTCATTTAATTGTTTAACTACTACTCTATGTTGCATTAGAATTAATCTGTCTTCCCCCTTATAATGATAAACCGTATCGGCATTCTTTCGATCAAATATAGCCACACTATCTAAGGTCGAGGCCAATAAGATTAAAATGAGGTATATTATAGGTTTTATAGATCTCAATATGCTGGCCATAAAATGAAGCACAAGATCAAGCTCCTTGATTACTGGTTGATGAGCCACAATTGTGTGGATATGGACCACAAATTTCATCAAAGCCATGTTAATGATGCGTTGTTCCACAGCAACCAAATCCTCTTCATCCCACAATACTCCCATGCCCTATTGGGAGCTAAAAGCACCTTTTATAAATTCCATTAATCCAACTTCTTTGGTGAATAAGTTTTTTTTTTATAGCCACCAATTACTTTTCCAAGTGAATATGAGTCTTCCCCTTATAAAATTAAAGTTGAGCTATGTGTTCCAACAATTTCGAGATCTTATTGTATTCTAATTTTGCTTATTATGGTGGGTCATATCTGATAACGACACTAATTTAAAAACAAAAAGTTATAAACTTCATTTATAACCATAATATGAATTAGGAGCAAAAGCCTAAAATAATCCTTCGACCATCAATGTTGACCAATTAGTCCCAATGTTTTAAATTGCTCCACCTAAGTCCGAACTATTAAAAAGTGATCCAAATTACTCCATAGAATAATTTTTAAGGTTAAAGTTAACGCAAACTGTTTAACTTTATGGGTATGTTAAGAAAAAAAAATTTAAATAAAATTTCTTCTACTATTATTTCTATATGTAATAAAATTTGGATATTATTTTAATATTACGCAATAAAATATTTCTCTATCATGCAATACATTATTTTAATATTACGCTATTTTTTTTAAGTAAAAATTCATTTCTACTTCAAGCCTATATTTATTCTAATGATAATGTATTCAAATTCCTTAATGTGGGATAACTATATTTGATTATTTACTTCATAAAATAATAATTTACCCTCATTAATAAATTTAAATAATTTATTACATCTGAAAATAGAGTTATAATAAAAAAAAAATTGCATTTAAAATTTTATTCCTAAAATACCCTCAAAGTTAACATTTTGAATTTACTTCATCCATGAAATTTAGCCTAAGGACTAATTTGGATCAAATTTTAATAGTTTGGGACTAAATTTAAACATTTTAAAAATATAAGACTAAATTGGTCACTGGTTGATAGTTAAGGAACTATTTCTGGCTTTTGCTATACTAATTAGTGTTACTCTACTATATACAACCTCAAGCTACTGGTATTGTTGAAACCTCCAATAAGAAAATGGTCAAGCTGGTCAAGAAGTTCTCTTGAAAACAAGAAAGAGTAACGAAGAAAGTTAGCAAATACCTTGTATCCATATAGAACAACATATAGGACACCAACTCAGTATACTCCTTGTGCAATCTTCATTGGAGCTAAATCTACTTTACCTTTAAAGATGAAGCTCCATTCTTCAAGTATTTCCCTTGTCAAAATTTAGCATGCCCCACTTAGGATGGATGAAAATTGTTTGCGAATGCAGCGGAATCCCAAGTTGAACATAGGTTATATGGTTCAAGCCCATGATAAGTGAGCCAGACCAAGGACTTAAAGTTGTAGATTTGGTGATAATGTTACAATGATCAATCTTATCCCAATGTAAGATTAATAGAAGTTTGAGCTACATGGGAATGCCTCTTTATGGTCGAGCAGACACATTAAGGTAGATCTTACCCGTTCATAAAACTTGATGGTTGGCAAAGCTAACCCATGATCATATTAATGGCAATTATTTGAAGAAATTTCATGCATCAAGTTAACATTAGCAACAAATGCATAATCCTCATAATTAACAATTAGTTTTTTTGCAAATATCTTAATGTAAATCAGGTATATGCTAGCTGATGATATTGATTGATACGCTAGCCGAAGATAGTGCAAATTCACTATATATAAAATTGATAGGAATTTAAGCAAGATTGTTTTCGAGGTTGAAAACCTAAGTTCCAAATGAACTAATGCTTTCAGAATATTAGTAGATGAATTGTATACAAACTAAGATATAGAAAATATCAAATCCCGACAAGATTTTTTTCTATGATTAACAAGATAAAAAAACACAAAAACTTCTATTAATTACCTTTGTTCTTTAATTTATGGGTGATAGGCAGTTGAAAATTTAAGTTTATTTACAATTTTCTATAAAATTTTCCTAAGGAACTTTTTCGCATTCGAGTCAACTACAATGATTTTTGGAATTCCATGCAGTTTAATCACTTCATTAAAACCAATCTTTACAAGAAATGCATAAACCATATTATGATATGATATGAAATAATTCATTTTTGAAAAGCAATGAATCACTATAACAATATAATGATGTTTCTTTAAAGTTGGTGGATATCTTAAAACAAAAGTCATACTGACATCCTCCAAATATTTATATGGAACAGACAATAGTTTATAAAGCACAAAATTATGTTTCCTCCTTCAGTTGTTTTTAATTATCTCTATTGCAAAACTATGCATGCAAATATCTCTTTTAAACTAGGCCAATAATATCTACTTTGAATCACGGTTCTAGGTTTATCACGAGCACTACTCAACTGTAAAAGCAAAAAATCTCCCAAAGATGAGTGTGAAATGCAGAGTTGAACTCCCGTGAATAGATACATCCTTAATCATGAAATCCTTCCTAAGCATAAGTGGTCACTAGTTAAGCCAAGATATAGCTCCACTGAAATACCTACAATGGAATAATCTTCTTTAATGTGATCAAATAAAAACATATCAATCAGGTGTAAAATAATAGCCATACTAATTAAAAAAAACAATTTGCTCGACCCAAAAGATAATATAAAAGTTCCAAAAAATTCAAAATCCAAGGAAATATGAGAAATAGCATAAAATTTATAGTGATTGAAATTCACATCGATAAAAAAAAAAAAGGTACACGCCAATCTAAACAATATTGCAGTCGCACACACAAGATAAGGCCCTATTTGGAATCACTTCTTATTTTTGTTTTTGTAACAATTAAAATGATAAAATATTTTGTTTGGTTAATACTTTAATTTGTTTGTTTTTGAAAATAAATTACTTTGTTTTAAAAAATACAAAAAAAGGTTATTTTAGTATTTTCAAAACAACATTTTTTCCATCTAAACCCCATCGTATCCTTTTTTCGATCTTCTCTACAATGGCATAGTTCTCCAATTCCTTGTTCATGTGGCTTGCGAGCTTTTGTTTGGGGCTAATCAAACTAGACACTTAGCACAAGACAAACATTATCCCAAACACACATCAAGATGCTCAGTATTGAGTCATGTGATCTTTGAGGTCATTGTGTCGGCCAATAAAGAAATTCATCTCTTTCAGTAAAGGCACATGTAATGAAAATGCATTGGATTGTGTGAATGTACTGATATGAAGGGTTTTTGGAAACTGACTGCCAAGTGTGGAATTGTTGTTTGTAAAAATAAAGATTTATATTTTAATTTTTAAAAATAAGTGATACATAAGGATAGAAAACATGTTTTTTTTTTCATGTTAGAACAAAATAGAAGAGTATTTGCATGCTAAAATTGACGAATGGAAACAACTGGATAAGGACATCTAATAGGCTAATAGCTGAATCGAAATGACTGCGATAGTAAGCCAAACTTAATGAGATAATAAGAAAACTAGAGAATAATTTCATAATCACGAAAACTTCATAATGGTATATCAATGTTCACCTTTTATGAAAAGTACATACTTTTAGATTTCCATCATTTTACTTTATCAATTCATTTGAATGACCCTTGCAATAAAAACTGCTAAAGCAATACTCCGTTTTCAATTTATATTAGCATTAGTTTATTATTTCTCAAAAAATTATACATATATACATATGAAAATTATTTTAAAAAGTTCTACGCTAAATTATAGCGGCGTGAGTAAAGCGCAATTTACCAGAATGATCTTGGTCTCATCCAAGTCTCTTTGAATTTTCAGCAACTTGTCAGCCTCAGCAGGATCCTGATATAAATTACCAACAAGAAAAGGTAAGTTTATCAATATACCGCTGACCAAGAATACTTTAAAAAGCATTCACTGCAATGAAAATTACAAATTTGACAAAATATTAGAAAAAGCATAAACATGTACACCATAAAAACTCAAAAATTTAATAAGCATTAAATAGCAATGGCTATTATTATTTTAAAAGCAACAAACTCGAAGAGTGATTCTGAAACATCCAATTTCTGCAGCAGGAAAATTAGTAACTTCTCTCTAAAAACAGTTTCTCTTATTAGCTAAAGTATATCACTTCGTTTGAATAGATTATGTTTTTCTAATATAGCATATTTACTTCAATTTTTTTGATGATCCACGGCACTCATAATTCTGTTGCAACAAAAAAGTTCCCTTCTAATGTCGCAAAACCTCTATCAGCTATTATAATTTTACCTATGGGCAACCTCAATATCTTGCCCATTTAATCAAAATATTTTCTTTATACATTGGTTAAGAAAATTTTCTCTTTTTAGTGAGAAATTATTTTATCAACTGAGTCACATGTATGAGACATCTTTGCATGTAATCATTTTAAAAATAGTTCACAGTTTGTTTCCCTCAGGCAAATTAAAAATAACTATCTTTATTCTATATATTAAAATGACAATAATATTGAAGCATGAGAGAGAAGAAGCCAATGAAGTGGAAAAAAGGATTTCTAATGAAACATACAAGAAGAATTTGACACAAATTGAGATTTAAAAAGTTGAACTTTGCCAAGAGTACAGGCAACATCTCTTCTACAGACTAAACGTGATGCTACCGACAGTAGTCAATAATTTAAAATGCCAAAAAATAGCAAGTAAACTATCAACCAAAAGAAAGAGAAGGGAAACCTGAAATTTTGTTAAAGCCTCATTCAGGTATGGCCACGGCTGGGTGACATCTGTCTGAATTTGTATCCATGATTCCCCAAATGCCTTCTGGTACTCATCTAGCACCTTCAAGGATGATGGATTCATATGAAGAGAAAATTTACATAAAATACAAATTCAAGAGAAAATTTACATAAAATACAAATTCAAGCATTGCAACTATACGCCAAAAAAGAAAAAAGAATCAATAACAGCATTCTAGTAAGCATGTTATCAAATAGACGTGACAAGTCCTAAGAACATCCAGGCCTAACCTATGAACGTGCTTCAAAGAAAGTGTAAGCCGAATAAGCAATCTGACTTGAGATACGAGCACTCATAACCAGCTTAAAACATAAAAAGACGTTATTAACCAGAGCAACATAATGCAATCCAAAAAGGCTTTCTAATCAAAGCCAGGCCAGGGCAAACTTGGAAAAGAGCCAACAAAAGGCTGACCAGATTGTCGCCCTAAACTTCAGAATTCTAAGAAACCACTGCTTATTAACTGCAACATATTTCATATAGAGGCATCAGAACACTTTCCTCTAGTTTATTGAGATGAAAATGGAACAGCATTATGATATTTGCCATGTATCAGGCATGCAAGGGAAGAAAAAACCAGTAAAATGAGCAACAAATAATGTGTTTAAGAGACTGAGCATCCAGAGCGAAAAAGAAAATGCAGCAGGGAACTTACTAAATCCTTGTTCAAAGTTCAATAAAATTAAGAAAGAAATATATTTCTAGACAGTTTCAACCAAACGGGAAAGGACTGCAGAGCACTCTATCGAAGTAATTGTTTGTCAAAAGGTTAATTGGTAACAGATTATCCCAGAAAAGCTTCTGATAGGCGATCTAGACTTAGGGACAAAACTATGTTTTGGAATAGACGCACTTGGAAATGTTAGATAACAACAAATGAAGAATCCCCACAGCATAATTTGGTGCCAAAAAACAAAACCGCGCATCAGAATAAAATGAATAATTTATCATTGGAATTCATGAAACCTTCATGTTACATAAGTTAGAATGCAAATTTTGCCACCAAAAAAAAAATGCAAGACCTGCAGCACAAACTTTCTAAAACCATAAACATTGTGCAATGGGGTAACATTCTAACTGACGAGGATACAACCCTACGTTTTGAAGTATATATACAATTCAATAAGTACCATGTCAAATTTGGGTTAACCCTAATAAAGACATAAGAAATTGGTCAGATTCAGGTTGATCAACCTAAAAATGATCAAGTTATGAACCCAATATAGGGTCAACTGTCATTCCAAGATGACTGTTTGGATGCATAACCTTTCGTGATCACAGAGACTCATAGCTAACTCACAAGTATAAAGAGTGGCTAAAAAGCCTAAAATTTCCATTGACGCACATGCGTACTATTATGCACACTTGAGAGGGACCAGTGGTTGAAGCATATACAAATAGGTCAAAATTTTGCAGCCTCCTGATCTTAAATCATCTTCACAAAAGCATTGTTATTGACTTGATAATCAATCCCAACGGTGTGATCTATGAATCAATACCATTGGCAGTCTTTCTAGTGCATCATAGGTTCAAATTTTAAAGATCCTAATCATTTTAATCTTTTCACGGTCTAAATCTCCAATGGTGATCAAAGACAATTTTATTAATCATCCTCCAGATTTGATCCCCAGATTAAAAACCCACAACACTTGTTATATAAATATTTAACAATGCTAGTTAAAGGGACTAGCTAGTTAGAACGAGTCAGTTTCTAGTTGTGACTCAATGGTCTTCTACTGCAAGCCAACAATAGCAATGTATTAAAAGGCGTGGGTGTTGGGTGGGGCTTCTTAGCTGTTATAGGGTGAGGCGTAAGCCACAAGGCATCGGGCGTAAGCCCCCAGTATTAGAAAAAAAAAGGAATATAAATATTAAGGAAAAAAATAAACTATATGTGCATAATAAAAAAAATAAACACAAATAGAACAAGTCTTACAGGATTCGAGTCTTCAAGATACTAGCAAAAATCCACCAAAAAAAAAGTAGAAACATATAAAAGTAAGTAAACATGTTTGATAAAAAAAATAAATTTATGATCATTTGATCTCAATCCTTAAAATTTATTCATTCTTCAAATTCATCATCAAATTTTTTTTTTCTTCACCAATAGTTGTGTCCAAATCGCAACTAGGTCCTTCATATTCACTACATTCATTGTCAACTTCATTGAAGTCATCATCATGCTCAATCTCAGACACAATCATAATTTATTTCTTCTTATCATTGTCACCTAAATTAAAAACACAAGCGAAATAGCATTCGTAAATATTTAGGATCTTTTCTCTATAAAAAAATAAGAATGCATATTTGTCTAAAAATGAATTAAATGTATATATAAAACTTGTTCTTTCATTCATCTTCATTTTCCTGTGAGAATGTTATAAAAATGTCATTTCTTCCTTGTGTAATAATTTGTGATTGTTTATTTGCATTTGTCGTGAGCGTATTTCTGATTACATCAGCATCAAAAACCTGTTCTTCATTTATCCAAGAAGGTTTCTATGAAAGCATTGAATTTTTTTTTCTCAATAGTCTACTCTTCATCAGAATCTATATCATTTATCAGTATTTGATTGAAGTCTTGTTTTCTTCTTATACTTCTCTCTCTCAATCAAGTATTGTATCTTACAAATACAAGAGTATTCAACCTCTTGTGCTCCAACCTGTTCCTCTTCTTGGTATAAATCTAAGATAAAAAAATATTATTTTTAAAATGTGATTATGAAAACAAATAGTAATACTTTTAAAATTTAAGAAATAAAAAAATTATTACTAATTCAAAAGCTCTCTAATTTCTTTCACAGCATGATGAACTACATGTGAGGCTAAGAACTTGAATTAGAAAATTCGTTAACTCAAGTGTTTTCCCACCAAATCTCATCCACCAATCAGCACGAGATCTCAACTGTCCTGAATCCATAGCAACTTAACTCTCAAAGTCTCCTCGTGAGTTATCATACAAGCCTAATTAAATATCATCTCTAAAACGATCTTCATAGTCCAACATTCTTTCTATACAAGCAATTAACCCTTCTTTTACCTCATTATTATTAGAAATATTATCCTCAAAGTGAAATTGAGGATTTAAATAATAAACAACTGCATGTAGTGGTCTATGAAGTTAGATTTTTCATCTTGCATCAATTTTCCACCAAATAGGTCCAAACTTCTTTTCATTATGCCCACAATTAAAAATAATTTTTTTCTTTTGCTGAATCTATTAACTATTAACTCATAAATATAACTCATAAATATAACCCATGACTGGCATTTTTTCTGGGTCAACCTCTCTTTGAACATTTACAAGTGACACAACACTTTTGATACAATAAGCAAGATGACTACAAAAATGTGGATCAAAGAAAATAACAGCTTGAACTTTTATACATGTCATCTACTTTTCCCATTGACTAGAACACCGTGATTCTCAGGAGAACATTGCCTAATGTGGTAGCTTCTGCTTGTAAATGCTTTGAAGGGTCAAATATGCCATAAGAAATGATGTGATAGCTGGACGAACAAGTTCCCTCTCCTTTATAAAAGATATCAACAAACCTAGAACTCGTGTGTGCCCATAAATGAATTTTACAACTTATTTTACTTTTACAAGTGTGTTCTCGTGAATCTTCAACTTTTCAATGTCGTCTAACATTAGGTCAATACAATGTGCGGCACATGGTGTCCAATAAATATGTTATATTTTCTCTATTATTTTTTTACCTGCATTCACATAGTTTGACCCATTATCTATTATAATTTACACTTCCAACTTTCTCAATCATGTCATCCAAATAAGTGAATAGTAAATCACCACTTTTTATAGCATTAGAAATTAGAAGCATCCACAAATTTAAAGCATCCACAAATTTAAGAAAAAAGTCTCAGCTAGACTATTCACAAGAAAATTAATCAAAGTTCTACTTTTTTCATTTGTCCAATTGTCTGATATAACCGAGCACCCATATTTACTCCATGTTTTTTTATGCTCCGCTAACATCTTATTGATTGTAACAACCTCATCTTTGAGTATCCAAGTTCTCAATTCATGTACTATAGCAGAGTAAACTCGAGTCTAAAATTAGCAACTACTTCAGACATAAACATGTAATATGAGTCATTGAAAATATTAAACGTCAATACGGCTGAGTAGTTGAATCTACCAATTGCCCTACATGCTTCTTTTCTTTCATCTTTTTTCGTACTTAGAATTTAGAGTAGAATTCCTTACTTGTGTTATGGTGAAAGAATCCGTTGGACATCTAACTCTAGGTGGCCTCTGACGGGAGTCAACTAATGATGAATTTGTAGCATTTTGACCTTCACCAATATTTATTGCACTACTTCTAATATCATTTAAGACAATGTCACATTGTGCTTTGACTTTTGCATCTTCTTCTAATGCTTTCTTGCATCTCACTTGAACTTCAGCAAAGGCTTTAGAATATGGCTCAATGTCCTTGTGTGTGCTCGCAAGATGTTGTTTCATCCTGTTTATTGTTCAACAGCACACTTGATTGCAAAACTGACATCTAAAATATTTTTCATTGGGTATGTTTGTTGTATATTTTCATGCAAAACTTTTCTTGCTAGTGCGACTACTACCAGCCACACAATACTAGTCTTTCATAACAGGTTAATAACTAGCCTAATACATTTAAAAAAACAATTGGTTGAAATCTACCTCTAGGCTCTAGCAAATTGAAAACAAAAAAAAAATTGTAGTTTACTGTAAACATAAAAAAAATTGTGATTTATTTTAGCTACAGTGATTTCTAGTAAACCTTCAACATGAAAGAAAAAAAACAGTAACCTCATTGTAGCTACAGTTGATAAAAGCATAAAAAGTCCGGTATACAATCAAATTTGTGAGGCTACAACAAAAACAGGAACCAAAATATTTTCTTTACAGTGCAACAATAAATTAAAGAATAAAACTCGTATAATTTCATTATTTCTACACTACTTAAATCGCAAGCCTCACTAGTCGCAGACGGGATGAAGATGCCGTGCGAGAGCTTGCGTGCGAGATGAAGATAGTCTGCGTGCGAGACGAAGATAGCCTGCGTGCGAGACGAAGATGACACAAACGATGTGAGTGCAGGAATAAACCGTGTGGAGGAGAGGAAGTAAGAGGAAGAAGAAGAAGAAGATAAAGGGATGTCAAAGGAAGAAAAAGAAGACGAAGAAGAAGGGGATGTCGATGGAAGAAGAAGAAGGAGAAGTCGAAGGAGAAAACCTGTCAAGTTCGAACTGTGTGTGCGATGAAGTAGAGAGCCTGCAGGGATGACTGTGTGTGGTTTGAATCAAACAGGTATTTGAAATTAGGGATTTTCACCCTCTTTACTCGATTAGGAGGTGGGACGTGCGCCCTATGAGGCGTATGGCGCTTCACTTCTTCCCTCGCGTGAGCCCCACACAATTTACGCCCACCTCGTGGGCTTGGGGCAAAAATCCTTAAGCCACTCCCCAAAAATAATTTTTTTTAAAACAGAACAAGTATGAATACATTTATGTGGCCTAAACGGAGTTCTCTCAATTAAAATACATTAATTATGAAAACCACCACAAATCTTTAGCTATATATAGAAATATAATATCAATAATTGCAATCTATAATAAAATGGAAGTCTCCCAGTAAAATATTGGATGAAACTATTATTCAGCCACAACTACTTCAATGTATGGAATAGAAAAAAATAATCTTGTTGAACTAGCTGACAAAATTCATTGAAAGAATCCAACAACCATGTTGGAAACAAGCAACAATATTTCTTGAAATGCATTGAAGTGAATCAGCAACTATATAAAAACAAGCATAAATATTTCCCAAGCAAATTCAGAAAACTATACTGACCACAGATCGCCAGAATAATAAACATAGGTGCTGCTGCCACTTCATAATTAAAATGAACTTACAGTGTTTAGGAGAGAAAATGCACTTCGTACAGGGTAATGATCATCCATAAATGCAACGGCACAAAGCCCATTTCTATTGTAAGAGTGAACCTTGTATTCTACAAAACAATCAATAATAAATTCTCAAAAATAAGAAAATCAAGTTTGAAGTAAGAAATTAATTAGGAAAAAGTAACATATAAGTGAAAGGCGGTAATTAATAATGACCAACAGAACAAACGAGTTCAATCTCAATATCCTAGCAAGTTCATTTAATGATAATACGAACATATTTGACCTGAGTGATTCTGTATAATCAAGTCATAAGCTGAACCAAAATATATAAGGAGATACAATAAAATATTCTTTCTAAACAAAATTACCCAAACTCTAATTTGTTAAAATATTTGTAAACTGTCATAATTTGAAGAAAAGCAAAGAGTCGATACCAAAACACTTCTTTTCCAAAACTCTAATAAATAATAATTTTGGTCTAAAGAACCTTAAATCAAAAGCTGCTACGGACTTGAGAAAATATGAATAGGGGTGTGTTACATTTTAAACGCAAGGCTTTCATGACTTGAGTACTTGGCTGGAAAAAAAGAAAATTCAAATCATTCATTTGAGGAGTTTGAAAGTCTCCCCATATATCATTTTTATTGTATTTTGAATTTACCCAAAGCAGGCAAATTTGAAATACACGGTGTGAAGTGCTAATTTTCTCTTCTCTCTCTGCTCCAATTCGCAATCATAAGCACGCTCCACTACAAACAAAAAGCTCAACAAATCCATGAAGCTGCAGCTGTCAGCAAACTCACAACTCCAATCCCACAACAACACATGCAATCTCTACTACAATACCGTAGTGACCCGTCTCCATCTTTGACCATGACCGTAATAACTGAAATTTTAAATAATAAAAATAATATTAATAATATGAATATTAATCTAAATAAAATAGGCAGTTATAAGAAAAGCATCTTCTCGAGTTCATCTTTGGGAGTCGCATGCCCCATTCGAACAGAATGAAACAAAGAACAAGCGTGCGAGAGAGAAAGTGGAGTGAGAGGGAAAGCGAAGGAGAAAGAAGAGGAAGAAAGGAGGAGAAAGTTTTGAACCTTGCATGCGTAGCCCTAGCAGGGAGCGGTGTTGTTGTATGCGAGGGGAGGAGGAACACAGAGGGAGGCTTGCAAGAGATAAGAATAGTTGCTTTAAGTAGGAGGAGGAAGAAGAGTCGAGGGCTTCTCATACCTCGAAGCTTTGATGTTGTGCGAATAAGAAGGCGATCAACATCAAGGAAGTAAGGAAGAACGCTAGCCACGGCGTGAAACATCGAATTCACTGTGGGGAAGCCTTGAGTGCAGACAACGTTCAGCACAAAGGAAGAAAAGTATCAAGCAGGACGAACGGATTTTTTTATGTTTAGATTGATAACCACTGTGTTCACGAGAGAATATCGACTAGGAGTAAGTAGGCACTTTTTATCTCAGACAAACGTCTAAATTAGATCACAAAACGCTATGCTGACAAGATAATATCGATCAGGGGTTTGTTAGGTTATTTTTTGAAAGTGCTCCTAAGACACATGTAAATGTTAATAATATGATGTAAAAGTAAAGTTAAATATTAAAGTTTGAATAGAACAGTTAAAGTTAATGGATACAAAATTTTAAGTTATTTCTATTAAGTTAATGTCATGAACATATATATTAGATCATAACAAGATTTTTATATAAATATAAAAGATCAAAATGTATATTGTTTTCTCTTCCTTAGATTATTATAGTTTATAAGTGTGATTGTTCTTGAATTATCTTTAAATTATTCATTATGTTGTTTTAATATTTTTTTTAGGTTTTAAGCTTCTAAATAAATGAATAAAAGAGAAGTTAATGTGTACACGAGGCAAGAACAACGACCGAAAAGGTAAAAAATTTTATTTGTTAATTAAATTACTTTCTTTAGTATCTCTTTTATGGATATTTAAATATTAAACCGCTAGAGATAGAAATAAAATAATAGAAAACTTAATTCCAACATCCGACCATCCGTTCCCGCATTAGTTAATTTCAAGCTCCAGGTCGGATCGTGATAAAAGTGGCATTAGAGCAATGTTTAGATTAACCAACATAAATTTTAATGAATGAAAGAGCCAATAAAACGATTGAATTAAGTTATAAAAAATATTTTAAGTGAGCCAAATTAAATTATTTTGTTATTATTTCAGAATTATGGATGATTAGGAGGGAAAGGTCAAGAATGATAATGTTGAATTTAATATACCCCATAACGTCATAGTCAGTGTTAATACATTTTCTGATATGATGAACTTTATGACTCAGATGATTAAGAATTTTCAATCTTAAGCTAGCATGACGTAAGGTTTGACCCGTTGAACCGACCAGCAGAGGGTTCGGGTCAAGCCTCCTGGTAGAACAATCAATTGTTTTCAAGGGGCGGGAACTATCGCCCCCTTTTCCCCCTTCTTTTATTCTCGTTTAATCTATTTATAGTTGTTTGAGTGCTTTAGAGTTTAGTTTTGTTCTTTCTGATTTCAGAGTTCCTGCTGTCATGTCTCTCTTACCTTGTTAGGGTTGTAGTCAAGGACAAGTGATGCTCTGATTGTATCCTTCTCTGAGGTGGTGGTTATCTCGTCAATCTCATGTCATATTCCTTCTTCCCTGCTGACAATCGATTTCCAATGCCTTCACCCGCGATCACCCGGCCGCCCTGCTTCTTCCCTTATCGTCGCCCTGCCTACCTGCTTCCTTTTTTGTGGCCACCCAACCGTCCAACACATCCCCTATTGCCGCCCCGTCGTCCTAATTCCTCCCTTGTGGCCGCCCAAACATCCAACACATCCCCTGTTGCTGCCAAGCCTAGCCTACGCCTGACTAGTTGTTGCCAAGATCATCCAGCACCTTCCCTGCTGCCAAAGCCACCTTATCATCCACTTGTTGACATAACCTCTCAAACTATCCCTCACACCTATTGTCCACCTGGAGCTCATCACCTTTGCCTTTACCCTCGCCCTAGAGCCACATTTACATCTGTGTCATTTTATTTCCAGTTTATAAACTCTTGTTGTGTTCCATTCTAAGTTTCAACAATAATAATTGTATTCTTTTTTGTTTTCAGATTACCTCCAGTATCATAGCATCAGTGGAGGAGCACTAATGATAACTACCTGAAGTTTTTTTAGGAAATGAGACTTCCTTTATTTTCTGGATCAGAACCAGTGGAAGCTAGGAACTAACTTTTGAGGGTGGAGAAAATCATGGATGGTATGGCATGTCCACCAGAAAGGAGAGTTACCCTTGCCACATTTGCTTTTAAGAGGGAAGCTGAAAGATGGCGGGAAGGTTAGTTACAGAAGAAATTTGGTGGTCGACCTAGCCCTTTGGTACAGTAAGACGAGTTCATGGGAACATTCGCAGATTGATTTGTATCATTATCAACCAAAAGCCAGATGCAAGATAAATTCATTAGATTAGTGCAAAGAGATTAATTGATTATGCAGTACAAAGCGGAGTTTACTATGTTGTCGAGATATGCATCACAACCCATTCCTATTGCAGAGGATGAATGTCGCATATTTTTTTTCTGTAATGAATTATTCAATCAGGCAGAAACTAGTATCACTTGAGATTGAAGACTATTCAGTGCTAGTGGAGAGGGCCAGACGAGTAGAAATTAATGTTCAGCAAACTCAAAACCGTAAGGACGTACACAAGAGAAAGAGTTTGGAAGAAGTAGCACCAACAGTTCATTCAAGAGAATATAGTGGGGAGGAAATAAAGTGCAGTTATTAGCCACCCTAAATTGGTGGAGTTATTAGCCGCCCTAAATTGGTGGAGTTATTAAATTGGTGGAGTTATTAGTAAATTGGTGGAGTTATTAGCCAAACTGATAGCTGCAATATAAAGCCTTGTATTAAATATGGGAAGCAATATCAAAGTGACAGTTATTTGGTTTGAAAGTGTGTTATTTATGCAGACAACCTGGAAATTAGATAAAAAATTTCCCTAATTTTTCTCTGAAATCCACATCAAATGCTAACTCAAGAAGGGATTCAACTCAAAGGAATTTACTTTTAGAAGTGGCCAACAAAGGATGATAGAAGCTGATATTGTTACTTGTAAGGAGCAACCAAAGCAGAACACTCGACCAAGAGTCTATTCTCTGCCTCATCCAGAACCTGAAGAAACTATTGTCACTGATATTGACGCATAAAATTTGATGGATGATTTGTCTAAATTGTTGTTATGTTAGTTATTATGTTTCAATTACTTGAGGATTGTTGATTGGATTTGTTAATATCAAATGTTTGAATTATTGTATTTATTCTTGATTTCAGTTAATAAGATTTAAACTTTTATGATTAATTTGGATAGTTATGTTTTAATTACATAAGTTGTAATATCTTATGAGAAGTTCATGAGGTTCCAGGACGAAACTTTATAAGGAGAGAATATTATAATAATTGAAATTTTAAATAATAATAATATTAATAATATGCATATTAATATAAATTGAATAGGCAGTTAAGAGTTAAGGGATAAGCGACACCTCGAGTTCATCTTTAGGAGTCGCATGACCCGTTCAAACCAATGGAAACAGAGAACGAACATGAGAGAGAGAGGAAGTGGAGTGAGAGAGAGAGTAAGAGAAAGCAAAAGAAGGAAGGGGGTAGTTTCAAATCTTATATGCACAACCCAAGCCATGAGCAGTGTTGTTGTATGCGATGGAGGAAGATAGAGGGAGTGTTGGGAGCAGTAAGAGTCATTGCTCCGAGGAAGGAGTCGAGTGCTTCTTATAACCTGAAGTATTGATGTTGTGCAAAAGAGAAGGGGATCAATATCGAGAAAGTAAGGATGAACCCTAGCAGCGGCATGAACATCGACTTCACTGTGGGGAAGAAGCTTCGAGTATAGAATGCGTTCGGTGTGAAAGAAGAGGAGTATCGAGCAGGATAAACAGCTTTGAGGAGTAGAAAAAAGGACGACGCTTGCGAACTTCGTTTGGGAGGAGAGGAGCTCGACACAGGAGAAGAGAAAAAAGAGTCATGAGTGTGTGCAGGAAGGTCAACCAACGGAAGAGAAGGGTAAGGTTATATGATTATGCTTTTAGTTATATAAATTATCTTAATCACAAGTATTAAATAATGATTCCATGTTTAGTTACTTATAGATAAATTGGAAATAAAACTTTATTAACTTAATTATTAAAGAGAGTAATGAATACAAATACATATAATAATGATAACAATAATGATAATTGAAGAATAATTTGATTAACAAAAACATGCCTGAAATTTAAAAATTTGATATTAAGTTCTATACATAATAAATATCAATATAAAGGTCATCACGACGCTAAGCTAATTAATGAAGCTTGAGAATCTAACGTGGCAATCGAGACAAGTAATTGTGCTTAAGTTACAGTAATATTTCTTGCTTTTAAATATATCATTGCTTACAATTTGTCACTATTATGTCTTATGTCTATATAATTAAATTATATTTGATTCTTCATATTGATATTTATGAAATATGCATGTTAAAACAGTCATATAAATTATGTCTGACAAACTATTTCCGTCTTGATTAATTCCAAGTTTTGGGTTCGGGCCAAGTCATGACAATGACATCCATGTCTACCCACAACCCACCTCCACCTCCGCAGTCACACATAATATCACGCTATCATCGATAAACCATCACCCAACTTCATGGCCTAATAGAAAAAGAATTTTGATTTACTTTGCAACAATCCAAGAACACTAAGAAGTAACATTCCAGAATTATTTAAGAGCAAACTAAACACCAAGTATTTCAAATGCACTAAGCTTACTTTTCACTGCATTTAGAATACACATGAATTCTTAAATACTTGCAACTAAACAACCCGACATACAAAATATAAATGAACACATACAAGAATGGTACCAAAGAAAAAATAATGTACCCATAAATCATCAAAATATTAATAATCATATTTGCAACCGAAAAATTTCTCTATCATTAAAATTTAAAGCTTGTTTGGGATTAGGCGGGACCTAAATGAAAACACTGAGGGCATATAGAAAAGAAAGAAAATTAACCCACAAAAAATACAAACAATTTTATATAGGTTCACCCAATTGATACTACTTATTGAGGTAACTACAAATCTTACTATGATAACAATTGATATAGCCCTAATTTATCAAAAATATATCTAAAAAGGGCATCCCAAAACCCCCTTAATGAAACAATTTACAAATATTGGATAACCCCCCCGCCCCCACACACCCACCCACATAGGGATAAACTAGGTTCGCTATCACCAAAAGTTAACATAAGCTTAAAGCAAACATTATTTTGGTTTATATCATGGACATTTGGAATTTATCCCTCGTCTCACAAACAGGAAGTTATTGAGACTAGGCTAAATTTGTATGAGGAGGTTAACTCCATTAACCTCGTGCATATAGGCAACTTGAGCAAGCTATGAAAAAAGATGAAGCGAGAAGTTCGTGTTGGTAGTGTCTCCTGTTAAAGTTCATGCAGGATCTTTAGCATTTGTTAATCATAGTGCTATATTAAAGAAATAAGTGGGTATAAGCAAACAAGCTAGTATTGGGTAATACATTAATAAATAACATTTAAAATGTGATCCATACTTACATGATTTATCAATGCCTGCTTACAAAATAAAAAAGTGAATAACCTACGTTAATTACCTGTAAGAGTAATTGCTTCAAAAACATATGATCTGAATAATAGCCAATACTGCTACATCCATGTGACAGCAAACTATCCTGAGCACACATAGTACGGCAAACTACTACACCAAAACAAATTTCAGGAACGTAAAAAATCCCTCACGAAAGCCAACTTATAACAAAATGATTCAAAGCAAACATTGTTATATTCGGAGCCACTCTAAAACTTGTGCATACATCGGACCTCCAATGTTGCATTGTTAACAAAAACTACGTCCAAATTAAGTATCTAATTACTCGGACTAAAGAATCACGTAGCCTAGCCGAACCCTCAAAAATTGAATGACTAGAGTAAAGAAAAACATGCAAAGTGCTTCATAAGCGACAACATAATTCTGCAATCAGAGCATAGTCGAGTGGTACCAAAAACATTGCCAGAACAGCAATAGCAATCAAATTTTGTCTCAAGCTTCATCCTGTGATAAAAATAGTGAATCGACCAAGCCTATCGCAACAATCGTACTCCTATACTAAAGAACACGATCTCACGGAAATAATCTAAATTTATTTCAGTATAGGGCCACGCCCCAGTCTAACAATGCACGATCGGCAAGCTATCAACACAAATAAGTACGGCGGAGCATTAACATAGGAATCTCAACTAGAAACCGATCAAGACGAGCCACACAATTCTCCCCTATGAATCGAATCAGCTAAGCACTGCAAATTTACGAAGATTGGCATATAAGCAGGGGCGAAAAACCTATAGTTGGCGATCGATCTGTAGCTACCTTCGTGTTGAACGGACTGCCGCTGGCTCGGTGGTGTCCTCTTGGCTACAGTGCGGCCGACGAATACTACAAATTCTTTGGCAGCGGTCCTCTGAAAATATCCAAAGTGGCTTACATCAGTGGCGTTCGCCAGAACCACTGGCTCCACCGAACCAGAGGAAGAAGAATCGCCGATGCCAGAGCACTTGAGGAGGATAATTGCGGTGATCTTCATCGTGCACAAGAAAGGGAAAAAAAACGCGAACGAAAACCACGTGGTCGCCGGTGATCTTAGTCGGTTCCTTCCGCCAGATTCCGAAGCGCGCCGACTCCTTCCGCCAAATTCCAAAGCGCGCCGAGTGTGGAAGGAGGTCTCACGGTCACGAGAAAATACTGCGTCCCGACTCCTAAATATTATCCGAAGGAGGTCTCACGGTCACGCCATGAATAGAATATATGATCGAATGATGTCCTATTAACTTAGCATATAAATGGCTGAAGTCATCTCTAGTTTGTTTCTTGCTTTCTCAATTTATACAATTTATCTATACCAATTTGGGATAGAACTCAGACATTCTAGAATTGGTATGTCAATGAAATCTTCTTGTGGACATTCAAATTCTTGCAAGAGTACTCTCCCCTGTGGGGTTTCAATAGGAATCTATTTTAATAACTTCATTGTGAAATGAAAATATTGCTTTAACTTGGGCTTTAGAATTTTATATTGTCTGATGACTTGTTGGATAATCAATTGCGGCTCAACGTAAATATTGATTTCAGTTATATTAAAATTGTTAATTCCAATCTGGTTATCAGAGTTTCATATCTTGCTTCATTATTTGTATATGGTTATATTAAATGATAAGAGCATCTTAACATTCTCTGCTATGATGTAATAAAGATTAGTCAAATCCATGTTTTAACAATTTGTGATTCTCTATCTTTTTGTAATGACGAGGCTTCGTCAAAGTACATCTCCTATCGTTGAGCACTGAGGCCTTCGAGATACATCATCTACTCGTCTAGTAAATCATCGTTAATAGGAAACTCAGCAGGTAAAGGGTGTGTCGTGAGAAAATTTGCTAAGATTTGTCCTCCCACAGTGCGAGGAAGTACGAGAGTTATATCAAATTGTAATAATATCATCGACCACCTCCCTAACCTACCGGAAAGCGTCGATCGAATCATCAAATATTGCAAGAGATTAAACTTCAAAATAACATTGACCTTATGAGAAAACATTTAATGTCTAAGCTTATGGGCGGCGATTAATGCCAAACAATGCTTCTCAACAAGAGGATGCATTACCTTTGCTAGAGTTAAATAAAAACTATATAGTATAGGACATTTTCTTTACCCTCACCATTGGCCTGAGCTAGCAGAGCTCCGAAGAAGTCGTTTAAAGCCACGATATAAAGTATCAAAGGTCTACCCAAGACTAGGGCAGCTAATACAGGAGGAATCATTAAGTATTGCTTATTACGTTCGAATGAGTGTTGACATTTGTCGTCCCAAGTGAACTAGGTATCTTTCTTGATCAACATAAGAAAAGGTTGACACCTACCTCATAGGTTAAAAATAAAGTGTCTCAGATTCACCAGCCTCTCTTAAAAAGGATCGTAATTGCTTTAAGTTCTTAAGGGGTGGCATTTCTTAGATGGTTTTAATTTTCTGGAGATTGATTTCAATTTCATGGTGATGAACAACAAATTCAAAAAATTTCCCATAGGTGACACTGAAGGTGCACTTAAAAGGATTCATTTTAAGATTAAATTGACGCAACCGCTAAAAAATAATTCTCAAATCATACAAATAATTCTCTTTCTGTTTACTTTTAATGACCACATCATCCACGTAACATTCAACTTGATTGTGTGTAACATTTAACTTGATTATGAATGATGTCATCGAAAAATTCTCGTCATCACCCATTGATAAGTTGCACCGGTGTTCTTTAATCTGAAAAGAATTATTGTGTAGCAATACACTCTAATTGGCGTTCTGAAAGCTATAAACTTCTAATCCTCCGGTGCCATTTTAATCTGATTGTATACAAACTATCCATTCATAAAGGAGAAAATTGCACGAGATGACGCGATATCAACCATTAATTCCGGAATTGATAGTGAAATTCCATCTTTTATGCATGCTTTGTGTAATCTTTGAAGTCCACACAAACTCAAATTTGACTGTTCCTCTTTGTAATCGGTACCACATTGGCCAACCAGGTTGGGTACTAATTTTTACGAAAAAAATTGGAGTATATTAATTTCTTAACCTTAACTATGACTTGTTCAATCTCAAGATGCATTCATTTAGGAGTCTTCTTGACTGGGATTGCCGCTTGGTCCTATCCCAACTTATGAACCGCAACCTCCAGAGCTAATCTAGGCATTTCTTCATAGCCCCAAGCGAAACAATCTCTGAATTCCGTTAACAATTTAATCATATATGTAGATTCTTTTTCGTTAAGTATGGAGCTAATAAAGGTTGGTCTAGGCTCCTCTTTAGTTTCTAAGTTAACCTGTTTAGCTCGTTGATTGTTGAATTAATCACTTCTTCGAACTTTGGTGGAGCATCTTCGATCGAGGGACCTTTAAAATTGTTCAAAGTTTCTAAACAACCTTTATTAGGGTCATCAGAATCAACCGAACAAAATTCCATATCGTCAACTGACCCTACTGTGCCAAACCCAATACCTTGTTTTGAATTAAAAGCTCGATTATTATTACTACACGGTTCTTCAAAATGGTGTGATTGGTCTTTTGACCATTGTTTAAGCACGCACCACATTGAACAAGTTTCTGAACACAGGGAGAATACCACTCAAGAGGCAATTTCATTAATTCAGAAGAAGTATTCTCTTCTAGTTTTACATTAGTGTTGGAACTAGGAGAAGAAGATTGATTGCAGGTTGTTGCGACAGTCACAATAATAATATACTTGAGGATTGTTAATATTTCTTTAAATCATTATAGTTGTCACTCTAGTTATTTAAGGAATTATTTATCAATTTTAAATGTTCTTTGGGATGCTAACACAAGTATACGTAGCACACAAGTAATATAGGGCTATAATGAAGTCCTAAGTATCGATCCCACTGGGAAGTTTGGAAATATTATAATATTAACTCAAAGAAACTCTATCTAAACTGCAAAAAACTTAACTAGGAATGCAAGTCAAAATTTGTGCTCTTAAACTCTTAAACTAAGTGAATTATATAATTATATCTACTACTCTTATCTCTAAACCCAAAGTAAATTTTAATATCATTAAACTAAGTTTTATGAAGAAGAGTTCAAATTTTAAAAAGTATTTATCCCCTTGCAATGAGATTATGATCAGTGAATAATTCAAATTTTTATAAATATATTATGTCAAATAGGAGCATACTTATTCTTTACCCTCCTACAAGTTCATAAAGAATATTGGCTAATCCAAAGTCAACTTCTTAAATCATTGGTTAGGTTGAGAAAATACTGGCTCTTACTCCAGAGTTTCCACTATCCCTCCACTTGGAGGCTAACAACTAACGTCAGGTTCTAAACTTCTTCATCAAATTAAAGGTTCTAGCTTGTCACTCTAGAATCACCAATTTACGCCCATCAAAACTTATTTTCCTATTTCTCTGCACTTAACCACATGAACTACATTCTCATCCATGAGATCAATGTGATTCTTACTTAGTTGAGAAAAGCATAGACCTTTTGGATCATTATGTTTCACAACAAATTTTAACTTAACAGTACCTAAATTGATTAACTAAATAAATTTTGAAGTTTGAATCATCAAAATTATGAAATTAAACAATTTTAATTATTCACATGATTATTTCTCATTGTAGGGATAAAAACAAAGCAAACTACTCAAATCTCATGAAAAAGATACAAAAAAACATGGATTTATATATAAAACAAATTAACAAAACAAAGATAAGTAAGACAAGTAAAATACTAACTACTTATCTCAATCTCCTACCTAAGAAAATCCTTTGAAGTTTCTTTGAATAACTTTCTCTCCTTACAATATCACTCAATTATCTCTTAGAAATGTAATGAAGAAAATATCTCTCACTTCTCCTCTCCTCTTACAACTCTAAGAGACAATCTTCTCTTTCACTCATCTTCACTTACTCTCTTATTCTGCTCCATTTGCCCCCCCCCACCAACCTCCAATAAAATCACAATTATATAAGTATAGGTTTGAATTTCCAAGAGTCACCTCTGGCACCCTTTCAATTTGTCCAAATTCAATGAATTTGAGGAAGAAACCGTTTCTAGGCCTAGGATCCTAACTGTGTCACCTAGGCACCACTCTTTCTGTAAACTGACGAGTAGGCGCTAGATCCTAGCTTCTAGGCGCCAGGTCAACTTTTACAAAGGGCCTCTTTTTTACTCTAAATTCCTTTCTTTTTTGCTTCTTTTTGCTTCAATTGCCTCAACTTATTGTACCTGCAATAAAAACATAGAAATATCTTTCATTAAAATGTAATATCACTAAAAATAAACATTAAATGTGTATAAAAAAGTAGCATATTTTTATACATGTCAAAGATCCACAATGAAACAAATTGGTTTTGCGCCAACACCATGTACTTCCTTAACCACCAATCCCTCAACCTTATGAGGATAGATCGGGTCAAGGGCCACGGTTGCACATAATGATTAATCCTATCGTAAATTAACTTCTATTTTTGAATCTTCTCATCCTCTAGAGAGATCTTGAACAAAGGTTTCTTTTTTATCTATTGTCATTGCACCCTTCTTGACATTCCCCTTTTCGGAACTGTCCTCCCAGTTGATGTTGATAACTGGATTCCTTTGTTTAACAACTTCCTTGACCTCATCTCTGGCCTCGACCTCGGATGCAAGTTCTAGAGAAACCTTCACAATCTCACTTTAAAGGAATGGTGAGGGATCAGTGAATTAGAATTGAGTTCTTGTTCCTTTTCTGGTTCTTTCACTTCATTTGGTATAACATCTTTGGAGAAAATTGTTTTCTTTGAGGGTGTGTAGTGATCCCAATATTTTGTATATGTAAGGATTTATGAAGTTGACACCACTACTTGAAGATTTTAATCCCCAGTAATTGCACCAAAAACTTGATCCCAATTAAAGTAACATTTCAATTATATTTGTAGGATTCTACGCAAGTATACGTATCGTTATCAAGTAATATAGGGTTTTCTGATTGAGCCCCGAATATCAATCCCATGGAGATCAAGGTTAATCATAGCGGCTTTCAAGAGAAGTCCTAATTTAGAGTAACACGTCCTAGCTTGGAAGGTTGATAAAGTTTTGGTTTTGATTATATCCTAAAATTATCACAATAATTCTACTTCCACTCTTAAACTAAAATACTTAGTGAAAATCAGAAAGTGGGGTTTAATATATTAAAAGTATTCTTCCTCATGCAATGAAATTAGTGGCATGCGTAAAAGCACATTGCTATAAATAGGAGT